AAACACTTGGTTAAGTTAGACAGTTTGAGGCGACAGTTAGGTAAAAATCAATTCATAAATAACCTGATAAAGTTATATTCAATTATTCAAAGTATGTTTTGAGCGAAGTGAGGGAAAAAAAGCTTTAGTTCGTGGTTTAAAATTAAGTATTTCTTATAAGCTTAAGTTGGAGAATTATTTTTTATGGTTTGAACAGTTTTTGTAAATATTGTCTCATAAATCTACTTGGAAGAACTCAGGTCACTCTTTTAGTAATATTAGAACTCAGATCAATGGTATTAGCATTGAATGCTTTTAATGATTACAATATTGTATATAAAGAGTTTTTGAATTTAAAGATTTGAAGAATTTAAGTACATTTGATAGTATTGTTATTTTTAAGCCAAGCAAAGGAATTAGTACTGTAATTTAGATAAGGCTGATTATTTAAACAAAGCAGAATATATTGTAAGTGATTCTACCAAATTTGTCAAGTTGCATTATGTTCCTATTGATAAAATAGTGACTAAACTGCAAAGATACCAACTGAAATTGAAGAAAGTTAATATTATTAATGAAAAACAATATTTGAACGTTAGAATATCAGGAAGTCATTCAGTTATTTTTTATGGTTTGACTAAAATTCATAAAGAAAGATGTCCTTTGCGACTAATACTTTCAAACATTGGAAACTGCAATCATGTTTTGTCTGGTTTTTGAATAGTTGAAGAAATTTACCACTGATTAGGGTACTTTAAAAATACGGTTTTTGCAACAGCTGAAGTTTGATAGCAATGTTTTGATATAGAATCGTTATATACAAATATATCTGTCGAAGAAATCATACCGTTAAATGCTGATTTGCCTTACAATGACAATTCCAACAATTGTGAAAATTCAAAAATCTGTGTATTTCAAATTGTTGTATATTGTTACTGTAGAATATCATTTTCTTTTGAATAGAAAGCTGTATGATCAGATTTGATGGTGTTGCTATGTGCTCGAGATTGATAGATATTTAGATAGTAAACATAGTAGGATGAAGTTCATTGTGAAATATAAGAAATAATATAAACTTACTTTTTTGGACATTTTAATGAGTAATAGCAATGGTCAAGGTGAATGTGAAATGTATTATAAGAAACCATTTGCAGGCTTGTATTTCAATTCTGCGAGTTTGATTCCAAATATGTTTAAAAAACTTTAGTCAAAATATTTAGCACATACGAGTTTTTCAATGAATTCTTGTTTAAGAATGATTTTTCATTTGTTCTAATTGATATAACACTTCGTAAGTATTGTTACGACAACGTAGGTCACGTGACGCTTGTATCACGCCACTTCCTTCTCGAACCTTCATGAAATGTCGGGAGACTACCAGATTGGGGTAGTCTTGTATATATAAGACCGGCCAAGAAGCAACGTAAGGTAATGGGTAATTGAACTGCGAAGAGAGAATATTGTTGAACACGTGAGACGTTCGTTGTGAATTATAGCGTTTGTCATAGCGCGAGTGTTGAAATTAAGTGTATCGCAAAGTTGTATTCAGAAAGAATAAACTTGTATCGGTAAAGTTTCTTCGGAAAGAATTTTTACGAAAAATTAACTAACGAACGGAGACGTAACAGTATTCAAATAAACGAAGTGTTCATACATAATCTACAATTGAAGTGCCAAAATATCCTCTTGTCATCAGTTGACCCTAAAAGGGTAAATATTCTTTAATCATTAAGAATCAGTGAAAAAAATGTCATTCAAATGGTCTATCCGCATATTTAGTTAAGATGGTGTTGAAGCCTAATTGTCGATTACGGTTTCTTTCGACTTAAGAATCAGATTCTATCCTCACAATCATGATATGTTGTTTATAAATTTACTTGTCCTTACTGTCAGCAAGGCGACATTGGTTCTACTAATAAAGCGTATTTTAGCGAATGTGATGTTCATGTTCATTCCAATTAGTTTAAGACCATAGTAAGGCCCAATGATGAACAGAGCCTTCGAATAAAAGAAAGTTTACTTATTCGTAAGCTAAGGCCTGAGATGAACATTGTTAGAGTAAGAAGTGAGATACTTCTACTGTTATAGAAATGTAGACTTTTTGATAAAAACCACACATTTACATTTTTACAGTAAGGGACTGTGAGATAAAATAAATCTAATCTAATATAACTATAACTTTATTTTAAAACTTATTAATATAAACAAATAAAATTATGTATATACTTCACTTTGAAATTCACCATAGACGTTCTATATAAAATATATGTTTATAAGATTTGATATTCTCATTGGATACTCACCCTAATTATTTCTTTTCGATTTGCAGATACATAAATTGCAAATATGAAAGTTTGTTTGCTGTTTGTTATTAAACACAAAGCTTAAATCTTTCTAATTGTGCTGTACCTACCACAAGTATCGAGATCAGATTTTTAGCGTTATAAACCCCCAGACTTACTGCCGAGCCACTTGAGGGCAATAATAAAAACACCTTAAAACGTTGTAATATTATATTAATATTTCTTTTATAAATCCAGAGATTGTTTTCGAAGGAAATATTTGGTTAATTTGATTTACAGAAATAAATGTGATAAAATGTAGCCCTCTGGTGGTTCAGCAGTAAGCTTCAAGGCTTGTGATATTAAATTTTGGAGTCCAGTCCATACGGCGGATACAGAGTAGGTAGTCCATTGTGAAACTTTGCGCTAAAACAAACAAAACTAGAGGGGGCACTCAGTAGGGCGCATACCTCCGCCACGCAGCGTTCAGCATATTTTGCTCTCAAAAAAATACAAAAATGTATCCGTATATCCGTCGTCATCAACGGACACTGACCATTTTTGGCAGGACAATGAGGAATAATATTCTACATAAGTCCATCAAGTTTCATCAAAATCCCGATCATTTCTGACTGAGTTATAGAGCAAAAATAGTGTGTCCGAATCCATTCAGCCGTCTTCGAGAAATCTTGCTGACAAACGCACTCATATTAACAAACACACATACATCCACAGAGATGAAGACATAACCTCCGTCCACCTTCAGTGGCGGAGGTAATAACATTGTTGGCCTTCTCTGCATTTCCGAAGCGTCCACTCTTCAGATGTACTTGTTTTATAAAGATTCACTCTTCACGTCTACTGGTTAAATAAAGCTTTTCCCACTTATTTTGAAGCTGTGAGATACGCAAAAAAAATATCGGGAAATAACACTGTACATTCAAACCTTTAAATACTAAAATAAGATATTCAAACAACGTCAGTATGATTTTCTAGCATTACTGTTCGAAAAATTATTTTTTTCGTTTTTCGTTGTTTGGCTGAAAGCAAATACCAGTTGATTAGAGACAAGAGAAATCAGCCAAAGTCAATTTCACGGTTTGCCGGCCGTATATACCTTGTACAGTTACATAAAACAAACATATAAAACTCGATAATGATTTCAAAGGGAATAGTCTTCTACACACACAACAATAAAGATGCTAAGGAAGAGTTAATTTCTTTTACTATACAAATGACGGAAATGAAAGGCAAAGTAAAAACAGAGTACAGATAATATAATTTCACTGGAAGATACATATAATATACGTATCTGAACAAATTGTCATGAGCTTAAGACTTAACATAAATCAAAATATTGAACTGTAAAACAAATTTAAGAAGACTTCAAATCTCCCAAAGACAAAATTAGAAAATAATTTCAACAATATTGCAAAACTTAGCTCTTAATATTTAATTTTGTGTTCTGTTTGATGTTAAGCTCAAAGCTACACAATGGGCTATCTGTGCTCTGCCAACCAATGAGGGGGGGGGGGTAATATTTAAAACAATAAAAAATGATATTCTTTCCCTTCATACATTTTCCATTTTTTGATCAACAATTTGCATTTGTTATAATGAACTTTTGTTAGAAAATTAAAATGATTTCGTACAAGTTGGAAAAAAAAAAACCCATAAAATAACCTCTAAAATCCTTCTGATATTTTTTTTTGTTGTTGTTGTTTAATATGTTTTGGTTTTAAAGGTTATATTAAATAGATACAGAAAATGCTACAAGATAAAGTTCATGAATTTTAATATACATAGCAAATAATAGAATAAGTTTAAACCTAATTTTATATAAATTTTCTATTTAATAAACAACCTTTACGACAATTTTAATTGTTAAAAAATTTATTTCTGTGAGATAATTCACAAAATATAACTATGATTAAGATACAACTCCAAAATAATAGTATAAAATTATCATTAGTTGATATGATTTGAATTTAAACGATATTTATGCTATACTTATTCGATACACATTTTGTTACTGCGCGCAGAAATTCATTTTAGGGGGCTAACTCATTTTTAGTTAATATAACTCCGGCGTGTTTAAGAGTCTTGATTTAGTAATTATGAATTATGTATAATTTTGATTATCAAATTCATTATTATTACTAAAGGAAAATCGCTTAGTCACGTCGACATCGTGTGCACGTGACACAAATAATATAACAAACTGACTTTACATGATAATAAAATTATATAAATGAAAAATTATATTGTTATTACTTATATTGTTATTAGCTGTATGTGTAACCTTGCACAATTCGCGAACCAGTAACTGAGACATCAAACAAGTTTAAGTTTTGGTCATGTTTCATAATGAAAACTTTAATACATCGATATTCCTGATTTCCAAATGTCCTATTAATGTTTATCCGAGTAAACACATGTATGCAGTAATAGAAAACTGGACTTTAAGGTGATAACAAAAATATTTAGGGTGTGGGAGACTTACTGTAACAAATACGTTAAAACCAGTATATTCATATCTCCAAACAAACGTGGTACTTAAATATCAAATTGTATATTATCCACATGTTAAGCCGTTAATCTATAAATTAAGCCACAAACTTTTCTAAAAGATCCAAGCTAAATGTTAATTATAGGAAAAGTGCAATTTCTGCATTAGAAGCCCAGAACTGTCCATAAAGCCACCCACGTGTACTACGTATATTATTTAGAATATCTTACCTGTGAAGGTAGAACTTGTGAAGATACGTACAATTTTAGAACTTACTGGAGGCAGATCATCTAGACATCCAGCAAAAATCTTGTCTATCGCTCTTTCGTCCATGTTGAACTTTTAGTTTTATTTAATATTAGGTATGACCGATAATGTCAGGTGATACTGGTAGACTAAATAAGGCTATATTAGTGGGTTATTTAGTTGAATTATACAGTAAAGTCAGTGTTTGGTGTAGGTTTCCTCTGGCGTGACTGCCACAAATTTAAATTTATTTCAGAGGAACGCTTCATAATGAACATACTAGATTTAGAAACTGACTTAATTTCAACTCTGTATGTAGGTGCTACCTGCATGAGCGTCGTTCACCTACTTATTCTGTTACTATGGAGACACGCATGCGTTACAACGGTCCCACGTGGCCTACAGTTTCAGTGGTTGTTCTATAGTAATTTCAAGTGGAAAACAATACCTCATCTTATAGATAACTTCAAAATCTCTAAAGTTGTATATTTTCATTTGAATGTCCACATTGAAGAAAGGATTCAATAAAATTTGTTATTTATAAAATTAATCGTTCGCAATATTTACAACACAGAATAAGATAGTTAGATACTTGTAATCTACACCATTTGTTTTATACCTTATTCTAATTTAATATTTTAATGTTCACCACTTTTGCTGTTTTTTCTAACTAATTATCTATAAAACCTAAAGTGTGATAAGAATGACTAATGTCAAAAACTGTATAAAAATATTTTTTATTGATGGATGTACCTCCGCAGAATTCCCAAAAGTGTTCTGTTTCAAGAGTAGATAAAACTTAAATTAAGAGTAACAAATATTTTTATTTCTTACTTATGAAATTCATATGTTATGCTGTGTTGTAGCGTACATAGTGCATAATTCTTATCTTGATTCGTGGCATGCGCATGTTTTACAGTACAAATTGCAACGTTAAGTGTCCCTTATGTGACGTCTTTTGTTGTCTACTGACTGACTGACAGACAACACACTACTGTATAATGGTGCGAGTGGTTAAAACAGGTGATCCCTCCAGGCAGCCTTTGGCTCTCTTTCGTGGAAAATAACTTGGTGAAAGAGTAGCCCAAGAGTTAGCGGTAGGTGGTGATGACTAGTTGCCTTCCCTCTAGTCTTTCACTACTAAATTAATGACGGCTAGCGCAGATAAGCCTCGTGTAGCTTTGCACGAAACTGAAAATAAACTAAACCATTCTCACCTACCTCCCGCAAAATAAACACACACATTGATATTAATCCTTGTTTTACAGATAATGTTGTCTAGTTTTGTCTTTTGGGAATTTTAAAACACTTTTGTCTTAATTAAAATGAAACTATGGAACTGCCAAAGTAAGTTCAAGTTTTGAGTGTATTTTTCCTGGGTTTCTATCTTAAGAGCAATAAATAGGAAAAAAAAAAGTTTTGAGTGTATTTTTCCTGGGTTTCTATCTTAAGAGCAATAAATAGGAAAAAAAAAACTTAAAATTTCAACGGAAAGTAGGGATCGTTGGTTATTGGCAAAATTGCTATAACAAGTATCCAAAATAAAATAAATGCAGCAATAGAGAGTACACAAACAAGTAAAGTGATACTACTGTGATAGATTTTAAAACGACTTTTAATCCTTACTTTGTTTGGCATTGTGATCCATGTAGCTAAATGAAACAGTCTAGATATATATGGATTTTTATCGGAATATCAAAAGCGGATACTCACAGATCTGTCAAGTAAGCTGGAGAAATACTGTAGCGATAGACCGAGCCGTCTAGGGGCTAGCCCCGCTGACGTGATCAGGTAGGTAGTAGACGAAAAAGTTGTTGTTTTAGAAATGTTTGAATTGTTATAACGGAATGTTAGCGACCTTTTTAGCGTATTATTAGTATATATGTACATAATATATCGTAACCAATACTTTGAATTGTCGGTTTTTCGCTTAGAAATTTGATAGGGGGGTTTTTCGCCGCGTGAATTATTTGGTATTCTTCTCGATTCCTGCTATTAAGTAAAGATGTATTTAAAATAACAGCAGATCATACGCTAAGCTAGAACTTGTGTTGATAGTATTTCGAAAAATTATAGTGGATTGCTTTAATATTTCAAATATAGAAATCGTTATTTATTTTATAAGGATCTCAAGGTTTTGAAGTGTGTTTCTCACTAAGGTAATCAATTAATTCCATTTATTTTGCTTCCTTCTATAATATTATTTGTAAGAATTACGTACTAAGGTATCGAAAGATATGAGAACATACAGAGTGACGAAAGACAGTATATGTTACTGGCAGAATATCCGATTTTCCTTTAATATAATTGTTTTTCACCATATATTAAACTTATATACAATAAAGTAACCCTTTACCTCGTGATTAACTAATCAAAACTGCCTAGAATTCTGAGTATCGACCTAATTCATAACAATTGTCTATTAAATATCATTTGAGTTTAAATAATGCATCTTAATAAGTTCGATATAGAAACTGCACTCGTGGTGTGAAAATTTCTTTCCTACCGTTTCCTATAGCACGTATTTCATATTGTTTGTTTCTATTTTTTATTCATGATAAATCGAATCAAGGTCGTATGCTTACTGAGGGGCACTTGAGTTATACAAATCATATTAAGTAATGTCCTAATTTATTGTTATTTTAATACATTTGATGATAAGACTAGACATTTCCATTTTATGCATATTAACTTGCCATCAGATACAATATGAGCTGTATTTCGCCATCTTGAGCTCATGCTTGTTTGTTTGCTTTGAATTTCGCGCAAAGCTACACGAGGGCTATCTGCGAGCATGTTTGGTGGGACGGGGATTCGAACCCGCAGATTGCGAGTCGAGCTCCCTAACCACCTGGCCATGCCAAGCCTGAGCTCATGCAGTTCACGAATTTTTTTTAACCTTGCTTAACCCAATCTATATACTACTAAAACTCTGAGATTGTTTGTTTGTGTGCTTGTCTGTAGTTAAATACAGCAAAATCGGCGCACAATAGCGCCGTATTTGTAATGAAATGAGAATAGAAACAGAATAAAACAAGTTTCGTTAAAATCGGGCCACGGATTACCGAGTTAGCGCCGTTTTTCGGGTCACTTTTCGTACATTCCATTATTATAAAA